AGGGCACCCAGGCTCCACCTGAGCACACCGACTGTGATGGAGTTCTTGTGGGCTTAGAAAGTGGGTGGGAGTGTGGGATAGCCACACTTCCGTTCACCAAGTGGGTGTGAGCTATAAGAGTAACAAGAGGAATGTGGACCTTTTCACTCTTGCAGGTCCAGAGTGTCCTTGGGGTTACTGGAAAGCCAAACCTCTTCTTAAGCCCCTGGAATCTCGCAGAGCACTGTCTCTTTAAATATCCAAAATGGTCAAGCTACTTGTAACATTCAAAATGGCAGCGTCCTCCGGACCGGCAAAAGTCCACAGCTCAGCCCACCTTTGTCTTCACCTTCTCTGTTTATTCCCCAGCCACCGTGGACAGTCCTCCGTGCATTCCCTGGCTAGCAGGACTGATTTTTAGGTTAATTCTTAGGTCCTACCACCACTCAGGAATCTCCAAGCTGTCTGTGCCATCAGGATTGCTCAGGATCACTGCCAGACCACACCTTCGTATGTCTCCTTTTTTGGTATTTACACACAAATTCTTCTGCTAGTTGGGGTTTAGTCCACTTCTATATCCTTCGCTTCAAGGCTCAGGGGTCCAGGATTATCTTCTGTGTCTGTGTTAACTGTTTTCCCTTTTCTTTGTTGAAGAGGGTCTGTGCAGTCTTTCTGCCTAGTCCACCATCTTCAGCCCTCCTGCTTGTCTGTTTTTATATTATTATTTTTATCTTCCTCATTTCTTGCTTTTTTCCCCCTTTCCCATCCCTGGGTCTCTCTCTCTCTCTCTTTTTTTTTTCTTTTCCTTTCTTTCCTTTTTTTCTCCTTCCTTTTCATAGTTTCCTTCTTTTTTTCTATCTTTTGGTTCTCCCCATTCCTTGTTTTCCCCTTTTTCATTTCTCCCTATTCTTTGACTTTTGCCATTTTCTCTCATTCCTCTCTCCCCAAATACTGTAGCTTCCCCTGCTTCTTTTCTCATTTTCTTTCTTCTATCCATTTTAATATATTTTGAAAATTTTTACCCATACTTATTTCATTTTCTTTTCTTTTTTGAGATTGTTCCTGTTTGTTAATGTGGTTTGAGTTTTTTTGTTCTCTCTTTTTTTTTTTATTTTGTCAAACTGAGTGGGAGACAGCAACTGTTCCCACACAACCCAACCATACATGCACCTCGTATAGCCCCACCCACTGAATGAAAGCCACCACTTTTTTCTGTATCAAAAGATTAATGATAGATGGCAGTCAATACTAGCTCAACTCAGCCTCAACTGCTCTTTATGAACTGCTAAAAGAGATCTGGGCACACACTCTCAATCTCTATCACATGCACCAGGAGACAGGTGGTGAGTGCCTACATGGTAACAACTAGTGAACAGGGGAGCACTGTACCTTGCTCACACAAACTCATCAAACTCACTGGCAACGAGTGACTCATAGCAACCTCTCCTTGGGTTTCTGAAGCAATAATTCTATGGAAGTAGATTGTTCAGTCTTTCTTCCAAGAAATGGCTGCTGGGTTTGAACCGCCAGCCTTCTGATTAGCAGTCAAACATCTTAGGCACTAACCACCAGAGCTCCCTTTATACCACACACAAGATGGAGACAAATTCCTGTAACTTAATCTAGCTCCTGGATCTAACTGTGTTTGCAGGTAGTCAACCCCAAGAATTTTCAGTTATGGGAATCAACCACTCTCGTTTGTGCTGAAGTAAATTTGAGTAGGGTAGCATTTCTTAAAAAAAAAATATTTTCCTAAATATCATAGACAAGGAAGGTGTTCTGGTAACCTAGTGCCACTCTGATAAGAATATACCACAAATGGGATGGCCTTACCAAACAGGAGTTTATTCTTAAAATTTGGAGGCTTAAATCCAAGTTCAAAGTGCCAGGCAATAGGGGCTGGATAAAAGCCCCTCAACCTTGGGGTCTAGCTCTGCCTCCTGTTCCCGGCCCACTGGAGCTAGAGGTGTTTCTTTACTCAGACAGCGGTTGGCTGCTGAGGCTGAGAAGCCCCAAGGTTGACAAGTAAAAGGCACAGTCCCGATGTTACCAAACCACATAGCAGACCATTAACTTAAGTCCACTGTAAGTCCCAAGGTTGGCAGAGCATAGCAGGGCTGCTGAGCAACGACGTGGCTACATGCAGGGTCCAAGCGTGCCAAAGGCTAGAGACCATTCTCAAAGGCTTCTCATTATATATAGGAAGCAGACCACACATCCAAAGGCAGCTACCCAGCTGCTCGTGGTAGATACCACCATGGAGCTATTGCCAGTCTCCTCATGGGGATTAACTACCACCAGCTGCTCAGCCACTCAATCAGGCCCAGCCAAGTTGACACACAAACCAAACTATCACAGAAGGGATTTCAATTCAATTTTCATTTTTCCATTCACATTTCATTGTTACCCCCAAGGCATTTCCATTCAAAGACTGGAATAATTTTTCCCACATGAAATTTTGAACCAAACATTCATAAATATTCTACATTATCTCAACTTTGCTTATAAACAGCAGTACAGCTTGAGAGGAAAAAAAAAGAACTACCATGATCTTATCCTCTAACTCTCCATGTTCAGTGCATATCAATATATACTTTGATACAATCAATCATTCTATCATTAATAATCAAGGCAACCACTATGTAAAACATCATATATAATTAAGGCTTATTTTATGAATCCATCTAGATATTTATGAAGTAAACTTAAAATATCAATTTGTAAATTAAAACTAATTTTTATGCTATCATACCAAAACCAAAAACCAAACGCACTGCCATCGAGTCAGATCTGACCCACAGCAATCCCTCCTTGGGTTTCCAAGGCAGTATCACTACAGAAGTAGATTGCCCAACCTGCCTTCCGAGGAGTGGCTGGTGGGTTTGAACCACCAGCCTTCTTGTTAGCAGTCAAGTGCCTTAGGCACTATGCCACCAGAGCTTCATGCTATGATACAGTACTTCAAAGAAAAAAAAAAAAATTAAAACATGATCGATCAATACACATAAATATTAATGATGTGGCTCAAAATAAAGAAATCACAAATATCATCCACATCAGATAGATGTAGTCTCAGAAGCATGATTAATGAAAAGACTATCAGAGAAAAACAGTTATCATCATCTCCATTTCCAGTATTTAAATCAATAGTCCCTCACACTGCAGGTTTCAAAGACCAACCAAACCAGAGAGAGCAATGCATACTCACAAATTATAAAGCATGTCAGCCATGTTGCTGCGGTAGTATAAAGCATTTCTATAGGCGCTTTCAGCTTCAGCAATTTTGCTCTGACTCTTCAGAACATTTCCAAGGTTACCCCATGCTGCCAGGAAGAGAAGGAAGTATTCAGACTGAGTCTCAATCCAATTAAATGTGACATAATATTAGACCAGCAGGAAGTACCACAGGGAGAGATAACTTTCATAAAATATTTTTAAGAAGGAAAATTTATTTCTCTTATACTCTAACAGTTCATCAAAGATCAAATACAATCAAAGTCTACATATATTTCAAGTAATTCTTATGTCTCAAAGCTGATATACATATATGGTCCATCATAAGGCCAAAAACAATGTTATCTTAAGATCACCTACAAAGACTTCATGCTACTTCAAATTTCAGTAGACGTTTTCATGACCTGAAATCATTCTATACTTACTGGATCGGAAACTGAAAGAAATCATCTTAAAGAGTTTACTTAAGTATGAAAAACCTGATAAATGTCACAGAAGACTAAGGATGAAAAGTAAGATAACTAAACAAAATCAAAGTTATAAAGAGGCTTAAGAGTCATCAGAACATATCAGTATCAGTAAAACATCACACTTCTTAAAACAATTCAGTATACACCATTTATTCAAATACAATGTTCTTTTATACTCTTCCCATTAATTAATTCATTGTAGGGAAATCAGTATTTCAGTATTACCACACACAATCATGTTGAAAAATACATATTTTCCATGAGCCCTTTAGATTTGCCCTAAAATGATCATGATTTCTTAACAAAAACAAGAACAAAAGGCACAGCAACAACCACTGACCATGTAACACGACTCTCAAAAAGAGCTCTCTCACAAACATGGTGGCTTCCTTGTCTTTTTCTTCTTCTTCTTCTAAGGAGAAAGGGTGTCAAATCTGAAAACCAGAGTCCCTCCCAGTTGGAAGATGGAGATAAGAAAAAGGAAACTGTCATGGGAACAGACAGCAAATGTATGTAGAAGGTGGGCTTGCGATCTATGTAAAAATACAGTAATAGAGTACCGGTACTGAGGACAGTATTGGTGCATGGGAAATATTAAACAAATTAATTTTATTTTGGTTGATGTACTGTGTAATTTGCAATAGTCTGTTTACAGAAATAATATTAAATATAATGTACTTCATGCCCTCCTATTACTCAGTAACAATTTTTTAAAATATGGAAATTCCATTACCTCCTTTTGCATCTGATGAAAGGCAAAGGAAAGTCAGTGAACCCAATATTGTCCAGCACCCAGTGGTGCCACATATCAGGTCACACATTTGATATCTATTAATTCACTGAGCTCTAACCACAGTCCTGTATATAAATGTTATGCTGTTCTGTAGATGAGGAAACAGATTAAGGGACAATAAAGAATTTGCTAAGGTAATACTGGAGTACTAGCATGAGAATTGCTATCCAAAGCTGGTTGCTTCCAAGCTTTTTCCACCTTCCACCACACATTTTCATACCACGTTCCATCTCTACCTCGAATCAACATTCACATAATATGAATTAGGCCTTGGCATTATGAGTTGAACCCTTAAAGTGAAAGATAAAATAGTTACTTTGAAATACTGGTAAATTGAACCACTAAATTCAACAATAGGAAGTACACAAAAGAGTAATGAATAGTGTAATAAATTAGAATTATCTTCAAACTCAATAGTTACAACACTACATATGTTTTATATCCATACTACTAGAATACCGAAGCTAAAGGAAACATTATATACAGCAAGGACATATTTTGTTTGATTATTTTAAAGTGGATTTCCAAACAAATTGACCTTTTTTTCCAGTTTTTCAAGTTCTTATTTCCCAATTAAATAAAGAACTACCAAATGTTTTTCTTGTTACTCATCAAGAGACATATAGCTATGTTTAGAACACATACCTTAATGTATTTTGTTGGTTGTTCACTTATTCATTCATAAATACATTAATTCATTAAAGTTATGTCTTAAGAACCTATTTTATACAAGAAATTTATTAGGAACTGGACACTGAGTATTGACGAAGGTAGTCAAAGTCACATGTACATGGAACTTCCAAACTGGAGGTAGAATGAGGGTAACTGGAGCAACATAACAAAATAAATGAATTACGTTAAAATAGCAGTAAAAGCTACAAATACAACAGAGTGATGTAGAGAGCTGAGTCTATTTCATCAACTAATGAAACGGATGATAATTGATATATCTAAAGTATAAAAAGTCAGCCTTGCAAATAAGGATGATCCCAGTTAAACAAAGAATCTGAAATGAAGAACAACTTTGATATATTGTTACAAAGAAGGTACAAAAAAGTCATTAAAGTGCAGGTGGGGCAAGATGGCGGACTAGGCAGAAGGATTGCACAGACCCTCTTCAACAAAGAAAAGGGAAACCAATTAACACAGACACAGAAGATAATCTTAGACC